GATCAGAAGACCAGACCTCTACCCAGGTGGGCAAGTAGGGCCTCCCTGTGCCAGAGGGTGTGGTGCAATTTTTGGGTTCCACCCTAGCACCAAACACAGAGTGACTTTACCCAGATCCCAAGCTCCAGAATTATTAGTCCCTAGTTCTGATTACAAAATACACTCCAGTCCTAAATGTGATGAATTTGTAATTAAAATACACTAAGTCTAAATCCAAGAAGTCTCTTTTGCTTTGCCTTGAAAAATATTTTAGGATGTTTATTTTTTCCAATGTTCAAAATATGCAGATGAGGAAATGCTGATGGTACTTTAAAAAAGTCTCACACCTGAATCAGATGTTTCAAGAACAATCCATCCATCAGAGGAAAAAAAATACAGCAGATCAGAGCCACAGACCAAAGGACCATCCTGGACAGTGGTTTCCCCAAATGGAGTCCCTAGGTCACCTTCAGCATGTCCCAGGATACCGAAAGAGCTTGAAACCCTAGGAGCCCAGGTCCCATCCCAGAAAAACACACCACATAGAAATATCATGGAGTAGAGCCCAGGAATTTCAGAAATCTCTTCAGAAGACCCCTGTTAGACAGACAGGATCAAGATCACTGCCTTGCACTAGCATGATGGCGCTCAACCACTATACTGGGAACCACTTGAACATCTTCAAGGGACACTGGGAAACGTCCTCAAGTCTACTGTGCTTGCCTCTGGAAGACAAGGGCACGACAGCAGGACCACTTACTACAGAGCTCCAGGAAATCCGAATGTGCACAAGGTTTGAGAGCCACGGTTTGCAGAGGAGACAGAACGCCTACCCCAAAATTGTTGCATGGCCTCATGAACCGTCTCCTGGCTAGGAGGAGGCAGTCATTGATTTCTGGATGTTGTAGTCAAGTTAAGTGATGGCTGTGGCTATTCATTTTTAAAATTTAAGACAGGGTCCCTACATCCCAGGCTGGCCTTGAACTTGCTATGCAGCCCAGACTAGACTTAGACTCCTGGTCATCCTGCCTCTGATTCCCGAACGCTGCCATTGCGGGTCCCAGGATTACAGGCACCAGTCATGGATGTTCTGAACACTCCTGTGTGGCTTTGTGTCAGTGCCTGGGGCTCCAAGCCTTTCCCCAGAGAAAAGACAAACCATTCACTGAGAGTCTGGGAACACTTAACTGTGTATTCTGAGGGTATACTAATGGAGATCCCCATGCTGGTTGCCACAGACACACAGAAGGGAGAGTGTGTGACCCACTCCACAGAGGGGATGTAGCAGGAGTCATAACCTGATATAATTTACAGAAGTGACCAGATAAGAAGAGGGAGGAGGGGCAGAGGAATGGGACCATTCCAATCATCTGAACCTCTTGCACAAAAAGCACAGAACTAACAGAAGAAGGGAGGCCCGCAGAGGCAGGAGGGTCTCTAGAAAGAGAGAGAACCTGCTTGTGGCATGGCCTGTATGGTTTGACTGAAAGCAAACAAACAAAACAAAAACTTGGACTAGGGGCTGGAGAGATGGCTCAGTGGTTAAGAGTGCTGCCTGCTCTTCCAAAGGTCCTGAGTTCAATTCCCAGCAACCACATGGTGGCTCGCAGCCATCTGTAAAGAGGTCTGGCGCCCTCTTCTGGTCTTCGGGCATGCACACAGAATATTGTATACATAATAAATAAATAAATATTTTAAAAAAAAACTTGGACTATGTGGTACCAGCAGCAATGGGTCTCACAAAAGGTATTTTGAGATGCTAATTTTTAGAATAAATGAGGATCCCTCAAAAGAGCCCAAATTATAGCAGTGGCAAAAGCAAGTACAGGGAGGGAGTGAACGCCAGGGATATTTGTGCTGGAGCAGTATGGAGAAGGAGGATGTCCGGGCAGAGGGAGCCTGCGCTTGCCCAGTGTCTGCGCTGGTAACTGCTAATCTTTGTGCAACACTGTGACACTCACTCCTGGAGACACGAATGGCCTGAGGTTCTTGTCTGTTTTAGATGTGGGATCAGAGCCTCCGGGGGCTTCAGGGACTCCCCAAGGTCACAGATCTACTAAACAATGGAGGAGTCTCTGAGTCCAGACTTTTCTACCCGTGTCAGGGAGGACAGACAGGCTGAGGTCCGAGATGCCATACAGAGGCGGATGCTCGGAAGGCCCCAGCGGACATGCTTCTGGTGCTCCTGGGGAGGGCTGGCCTGCAGGTGAGGACAGTAAGGATTGGTGGCTCTCGGGAGATACAGTTGCGGCAGGAGTGCTGCTGTTGAAAGAGCCCCAGGGGTCGCAGAGGATGAGGGATGGGGAACATGCAGAGAGATGTTGCGAGGCTGGGCTGTATCCGGAAGAAACAGAGCAGGAAAGAGCATGAGGACCTGGAGGCAACCTTGTCAAATATTACTTGGCTGTCAAGGATAAGACCAAAGGCACAGCGCCTTCTTTGGCAAAGAAAGGCTTGCTGCTAACCTTCAGGATTCAGGTTTGACCTTTCTGTCCTTCCTCTTCCTTCCCCTTCTCCTCCTCTCCCTGATAACTGGGAACCTGGCCCTGAGAGTCCTCTACACACTGAGCTCCTGTGAGTGTTTGAGAAGGGTTTCTTTTAGCATCAGTGCACCCACATGATGGTGAGTGCCAGAAGGGCTTCTTCAACCATGGCGTGTCCCCTGGCCCAATGAGCGTACAGTAATACATGGCTGAAGTCGATAGGAAGCCCTGCAGCCTCTGCTTCCTTCCCAGACTCAGCGATATCTAGTGTTGTTTATGCCTCTCTGAGTCTGGGCAGAGAGATGTTGTCACAGCAGTATAAGAAGGTTCCAGGAGCCAGCCTGACCTTGAGCCTCCTCCCTTCTGCCTGCTTAAGCACTGAGTCATCGACTTGCTGCTGGTGTTGCTGCTACTGCTGCTGGTGGTGGTGGTGTTGCTGCTGCTGCTGCTGCCTCACTATCTTTCAAGCCCGGAACTGCATTTAGCACAGAGGAAGACACAACAGCTGAACAGCTACTTGGTTTGTGGGGAACTGATGACCTTAAATCAGAATTTAACTGGTGGTCTGCATTGTGGGACAGGATGGGGCAGAGAGGTCTCTCTGGACCTTTGATAAATGTTACACACACTGACTAAGTCAGAAAGCATGTAGCCTGGAAGTCAGGGGACTAGGTGAGGCTCAGGGGAGCCTCTAACTTGCCATGCGCCCTGGGGCAAGTTAAATAAATAATAAAATAAAATAAAACAACTCATGTTGTTATTTAACATCGCCCCTTTCCAGGCATCTGTCCTTGCTCCAAAATGTAGAGCTAGCCTTAGTTCTCCTCCAGGCATAAAGACAGTTATAGAGGTCAGGGCTGGAAAGAGGCTCTGGCAAGCAGCCCTGGTTTGGAGTGCAGTCTGTAGAGCTCTGCAGAGCCCTCCCGTCCTCCCCTGGAGGCTTGGCCACGAGCAAGTGCCTGAGCCCTTCACCTGTACCACAATAGCCTCTTTACCTGAAAGGGTCTTGGAGTGATGGTGGGATACTGTGACGGGGAAAATGGCCAGTGCAGGGCTACCCAGGAGGGCGCGATGACCCAGCAGCTTTCATAGTAAGGACCACTTACTTAGATCCACACATCCTGGATGCCCCCCCAGCAGTCACTGGAGAGACCCCACGAGTCCTTTCTCAGCCTCTAATTGAAGAGATAAGGAAACTGACACCCTGAGGGACAGGAGGGATCTGCCTTGCAAGTCAGAGGCTGAAGGACCACCATACGCCAGGAGGATGCTCTAGCCCCTCATGCACGGGCATGGGGAGATCTGCATGAGCCATCTCCAGCTCCTATGGTGGACCGGCTGGGGCAGGTTCTGAGCAACCTCAGCAAGGGAGACCCTGATGTCTGGCCAGGCTGTTGCCAGAGAGAGGGCTTTGTGCCTGGCAGACAGTCTGACCGCCGATGTCACTTCTTTACTAGTGGGACAAACCTGTCTATATGAAACCTTCTAATTCTGACACCCCATGGTTTTAACAACTGGATTCAGTTAGCTGTGGACTTGGTTAACTTAGATCATTCTTAGAACTCGCTCCTTGGCAGAAACAGCCAGAGCCCAGAAAGCCATGAGCACGCCTGTCCTTGTGTGATTTATCTGGTTTATCCATGTGTGCTGCCCTGTGTGTTTCTGCAGCTCCTCCGGGACCTTCCATCCTTGCAGACTAAGGTTCGGGTCCTCCTGGGGGCCTCACAGTCAGTTGAAACAGGGTGTGGAACAAGCTCCAGGCACCTACAGGCCAGAGTCCAGAGAAAGAAGGCTCAGAAAATAATCAGAGGAGGGAGCTCAAGTGGGCCAGAAGCCTCAGGACCAGCTTGCTCTCCAGCGGGGGCTGTTCTGGCACCTACAAGGTGAGGTTGGGTAGAGGGCCTGTGTGTGATTTTCTCATAGCTGGTCCTCTGAGTGGCATGCTGGGCTGAAGTGTCGATGTGATCTGTCTGCTCCTCTGCAGAAGACAGAGCTGACACCTCCATCAGGGCATCGTCCCCAGCCCAAACACGGACCAGATCAGAACAGGCTTCTCTAGAAATATCTAAAGGAGGGAAGGAAGGAAGGGAGGGACAGCGAGAGGAGGGAGAGGGAAAAAGACAGAAGGAGGGCATTCAGGCTAAAGTCTTCCCAACACAACCCACAATTCCACAAGGCAATAATCCACCAGCAGTGACCATGGGATGGAAACACATAGGAGGAAGCAACTGGAAGGAGTTCCAGATACGGATGACGTGTGAACCTCTCAGCCTAGGAACAGCTGGGTCCCCTAACCCCGGGCCTGGTGAATCCCTGTGTCTGAAGAACAGAAACAGCAGGGACATTGATGTCAAAGTCCCAGCTAGCTGCCATCCACCAGGCTCACGTGACAAGGAGCTTTCCAGCTGATGCTTTCCTATTCAGGAACACAGTTTAACAAGATTCTGCAGTATTTGGGGACATAGAGAGGAACAGATCTTTATAAATAACTCCTGATTAAAATGGAGCTGAAAATAGGGAGACAGAACAGGAAGCAAATTGCTAAGCACTTATTGAGTCGATAACATTGGCTTGGAGATCTTAGTGCAAATGGCTGGTCTGGTTTATTTCCTTCTTGTCAAAGGTTAAATGCTGGAACCTAGAGGCACCGAGGCTGTGTGTGTCCAAGGGCTATTTTTAAGAGGGGGATGGCTCTCAGCTACTGGAGTCTTGGGGTGATGCTAACACAGACCTTGATGAGCTATCCCTGAAGCCTTTGGAGTCCAGCCAGGTAGACCAGGACGCTTGGCCACTGTTTGTTCCCTAGAAGGGCTAGCCTCTGAGCCCTGAGATTCTAGATGGTGATTCATGGCTGAGTCCCTGGTATGAAACTTGGGCAGCCAAATGTCCAAACGAGACCTGGACTGTGCTCTCCCCTGTTAAGGGGATGGCTCACCTGCCAGTCTATTTTCAGCAGGGCCTGACTTAGCTACAAGCAGGCCACAAATGTGTTCTCTGGGAAGCTGAAACTGAGTGGATGTGTGCTTATGAGGCCCCGACCTTGGAGAGTGGCCCGGGAGCTAAATGGAGGCACAGGATGGAGGCTCAGGACAGAGCTGACGTTGCATGGGTTCTGTCCCTGACTCCCTCCCCAGGATCCAAAGACAAACCCTAAATCCTTAGGGAACAACAATAGCAGGGCCAGGGAACCCTGAAGAGAGGCGGATGGGAGCTGAGACACCCGTGGTGGGCCTGTCTGTCAGCCGTAATTGCAGGTGCCTGTGTGTACGTGGAGGATGCCCCGGCTGTGCAGGTGAAGGAAGGCAAAGATCTCAGAGGGCATGGCGTGGAAGCCGGGTTTGGGCTTGACGTTGTCGTAGTAGTGGTGCATGATGTGAAAGCCCGAGGGGTTCATGGGGAAGGCCCAGAAGCCGAACAGGTGCACCTCCTCACAGAGCTCCAGCGCCGCCGTGACTAGGATGAGGCCGCTGCTAATGCGCTTTGCGCGCACGCCCAGGTTGAGCCAATAGCGCGACACGCTTAGCAGGTACAGCGGGTGGAAGAAGTAGACCTGCTGCGGGGACCCGAAGTCATCCAGCAGGTACTTGACGCGGAAGGACACGAGGGTGTTGCGTATGGTGTAGAAGGCGGGCAGCAGCACCGAGGCATTCTTGTACATCTGCAGCACCCTGAAGAAGGGCCTCCGCCACTTCTCCAGCTTGTGGAACCTACAGGGTGGCAGAGTGAGCAGCCGTAAGCTCTGCACATCCTCGCAGCCCACCCTCCCCGCCTCATCCCCTGCTCCAGCCCCAACCTACCCCACCCTCTCACCCTAGTACCCCTTCCTTAGTAACCCTAAATCCTTAGGGAACAACAATGGCACGTTTCACCCCTCCCATCCGGGCTCATAGAGCTGCCTAGCATCCCCTTCTCTGCTTCCTTTCCTACCTTTATATATTTATTATTTGTTTGTTTGTTTGTTTATTCATGGAGGGGGCACATGCCATAGAGCACTCGTGTGGAAGTCAGGATAGCCTGACAAAATTAGCTCTCTCCTTACATCATGTGGGTCCTTGTTGTGGAATAATCTTTTTGTACACTGTGAAGTAGTATCACTCTGATTGGTTTAATAAAAAAAACTGAATGACCAATAGTTAGGCAGGATTTGTAGGCACAGAGGATGCTGGGAAGAAGAAGGGCAAAGTCACAAGGAGATGTGGAGGACGTATGACATGTTGGAGATGAGGTAACAAGCCACAAGCCTCAGGGCAGCACAAAGATTAATACAAATGGGTTAATTTAAGTTATAAGAGCTAGCTAAAAATAAGTCTAAGCTACCAGCTGAGCTTTCACAATTAATAGTAAGTCTCCATGTTGTGATTTGGGAGCTGGCTGTCGGGACAGAGAAAGACTTGCTACAAACGCCACCCAATGTGGGGTACATATATCCACACAAGACCTAAGAAAGCTTTAAAAGAATGTTCCAAACACACAAAAACAGAGCGAAACACAGCTTCCTGGTCCTGCAGTCTCTCATGCAGGCCATGGTAAAGAGAAGCATCTCCTGGCCGGTGCCTGTGGGTGTGCCACCAGCGCACCATGAGCTGAGCTGCGTGGTGGTTTAAGTTTAGCTCATGTAGACAGAAAAGGTTACAGATAAGCAGTAAGGCAGATCCAGACAGGGAAAAACCTCCAAACAAATTACAGTGTGTTTTTAAAAAAAATGTGTTTAGTCTTAAAAAAAAAGAAAAGAAAATGGGTATATATAGTCATAGAAAAAAAGTAGTTTATAAATAATAAGATAAAATCTTTGAAGAAAAAATAATATAAAAAGGAGACCCATATAAAGGTGGAAGATACACAGTGAGTCTGGATCCTGTATAGTGTTGTATTGACTTTAAATTTCTTGATTGCTGAGGTGCAAACAAGAAACAATGCTGAGAGACATTGGATTATAAAAACTATTAAATTAAAACAATCTATATACTTTTAAAATGTCCTAACTTCAAAATGTAAGTTACAAAATATGTTACATTAGGGAAGGCTGTGGATTCCTTCAAGGTTGATAGAGATTGGGTTTGATCAAGGTTTGATCAAGGAAGATTCCCTAAAATCCTGGCCACAAACATAAAGAAATAAACCTAGAAAAACTATAAGACAGGTCACATATATTTTACCAGCTCAAACATAAAACAAACAAACAAAAACATCTTTGGCTGGCTTGTGTACAATACACAATCCCTAGTTGTGTTAATACAGATGTGTATGTTACCTTTGAAAGTTTGTGTTTTCAGAACAAGGGGACCAGACAGCACTGAAAACAGGTGACCCAGACAATTCAGCCTTTCAGAGTGCCTCTGTTATAGATTCCTCAGAATCCTCGGCTTCAAGGCTGCTGGCTGAGATGGTCCAGTCTCACAGACTCTCCTAGCCAGGACTTCAGATAAGCCTTGTGCTTTCTCATTGCACAGAGACTGGACAACAAATGCTATAACTAATCTTCCCAGGACTTGACCATTATCTCAATTTTCTCAGGTTCCCTAAAGATGCCTTCATCCCCAGACAACAGGAAGTAGTCTAGAGAACACAACATCCATATTCCCAAGAGGTGGGTTGGTTATGGATGTGTGTCACTGTTTGGGAGGGATATAGAAATATAGAATAAAAAAGACAACTACTAACCTCATATATTTTACATTGGTATGGGTTTTGGTATATTGATAAAAATTTAAAGTTATTTTTGTTATACTGAATGTATGTTTCTACTCATTTGGGATATTGTGTTTTTGCAGCTTGTTTTAAAATGTAATTTATAATTTTAAAAATACAAGTTAGTAGTTAGTCATCTATAATAATCACTTATTATTATATATATCAGTGTATTTTCAAAGTTAAACAGATATATTTTAAATAGATAGATCGTTTTCAAATGCTTCAAAGACCTAAAAGGATACAAATATTCAAGATGTTTTAATAACTTAAGACTTTTTATGACTGTGAGACACATCTGCTCCTGACAGCACCAGTCCACTTCAGAAAAGGATAATGAGCATTGAAGAACCTTGGATTGGAGTTTACTTTCTTTGTGGCAAAAGCTAGCCACCTGGGCAAGAAACTGCCCTGGCATTGACTGCTGACAGTCAATCCAACCTAGACAAACAGGACACAAAAAAAGGCAATGCTGGCTGAACTTTTCCAAGACAAGGTAGGTCAGTCCTTCAAAATTCCTGATTTAGAGAAAAGTCTGTCAGATATTCTAGGTCCGTAGATTGAAGATGGACACCACATGTTACAGAAGAACCCTGGGTGACTGTTCAAGCAGAGAGATGCCTGATTTTTTGAAAGTGGTTTGCATTGCAAGTCCTGTTCACTCAAGTAATATTATATCCTTCTGGGTCTTTGATGGAATTGAAGACTAGATAGTTATAGTTATAGTTTCCTTTAGTTATGATATAAGAGAAGATAAATTAGGTACAAAACTTTGGACTCATCAAGAGAGGATAGATAATGGAGTGTTTTCTCTAGATTTTCCAAGTATAAATGAACTAGGCATTGTAAATATAATTCTTACTTGATAAATGTTCTTATTGTATATAGTTTCATTTGTTAAAGTTAATACCTTTCCTTTCTGTTTAGACAATACCTGATAATTGTTCTTATTGTATATAGTTTTACTATGTTAGAATTAAAACCTTTCCTTTTTATTTAGACAAAAAGGGGAAATGTTGTAGAATAATCTTTTTGTACACTGTGAAGAAGTGTCACTCTTATTGGTTTAATAAAAAGCTAAATGACCAACAGCTAGGCAGGATTTCCAGGCACAGAGGAGGCTGGGAAGAGGAAGGGTGGAGTCATGAAGAGGTACAAAGGAAGCATGACATGTTGGAGATGAGGTCACAAACCATGAGCCTTGGGGCAGCACATAGGTTAATACAAATGGATTAATTTGAGTTATAAGAGCTAAAAACAAGCCTAAGCTATCAACTGAGCTTTCATGATTAATAATAAGTCTCCTTGTTGTGATTTAGGAGCTGCTGGCAGGACAGAGAAAGACTCACTACAGGCCCTGGAGATTGAACTCAGGTTGTCGATGTGAACAAGAAGAGCCTTTGACCCCCTGAGCCATCAGATGGCTCCTGAAGATGGTATTTTCTGATAAATGGGCACAGAAGAGGCAATGTGGGCTGAGTCACTAGTGTGGGGATCCAGGCAGTCAGCCTAGCTCAAGTCAGAGGATCAGGGCAGACAAGGAAGGCACAGAGGCTGCGCCCCCTAGTGGAGCCTCACACTACTCCCCTGCTGTTTGCCCTGAGACTGGGAGTGACCATTTGACCCAGCCTTCTGGCCTGGCTAGGCCTCTCCTTGGTATCTTGGCTTCTGCCTACACACCCTTTCCAGTGACCATCTGTCCCTCTGCGGATCTCTCTGCTCTCCGAAGGCTCCTGGCTATTGGCAACTGATGTAGTTTGGCGACTCCTCCCCTTCTCCTGTCCCTCTTACCCTCCAGCCAGGCTGACGATGTGCAACATTGGGGTTTCCACACACTAGCTCCTGCAGACTGCTCAGGCAGGCCCACAGCGGGCAGTCAAGTGAGATCTGAGATCTTTGCATGATCAAAGCTCATACCTGGACATGGACAGGGCCTGTCCTCAGCCCACCTGAAAGGCCGCTTTCCACCTCTAGGTAACAACTGCTCGGACCTACACTGCCCAAAGAAACACGATGCAGGCCCCATGTATTGAATTAACCAGAAATGAGGGAAGCTATTAAAAATAATGGTCATATTTTACTTAACGAAATATAAAAATACTATCATTTTAGCATGTGATTAATGTAAAAATCAATGAGATGTGTTAAGTCTCTTTGCTTGTATGAAATCTTTGACACCAGATGAGTGCTTCATATAGACAGTTGGCCCATCTCAGTCAGGGCCAGCCATGTTCCCAGTGCCCAGTGGTTGTAAGTGACTAGTGGCCACTAACAAGGAGCGCAGGTCTAGAAAGAGGACCACTGACCTGTCAATGATGATGCTGGGGTTCACGGTGACTACATCTGTCTTCTCCCCCACATCTGTGGCATACTCCCCTGAAATGGGGGGCAGGTTGCACCTGCAGAGAGACAGTGTCACATAGTTAGGTCGTCAGCCATCTTCCGGTGACTGGGAGGGGAAAGGGAAAGGAAGGAAAGGAGGTCAGAGAGGCCACCAGTTGGGCAGAACAGCTATGGTTGACTAAAGCAAAGGTCCTTCTGCCCTTTAATAGCAGGGGAAAAAAAAGAAAGAAAAAACATCCAGTCTTTGGTCTCACTGAAGTTACAACCATGGAGGTATTGAAACTATCACTGAAAACTGTCCTTGAAAGCTGTGGTCGTCCCTGGGTCTCTGGGAAGGTATGGCATTAAGCAGAGAGATACAGAAGCATCCCCTTGTCTGGGGACTCAAGGTTTCTCTGAGGAAGCGATGCTTGAGCTAAGGGCAGGAATTAGCAAAAGTCTGCTGGCAGAAGGACCAAATAGCCTGTGGGATATTCAAAGATAACCTTTGGGGGTGCACTGCTGAGGTTGCAGAAGGGCATGCAGTGTGACCTGCAGAAAGCCCCTGAGGTAGGAATGTGGGGTCACCAAGGCAGCAAAACCCTGACCTCTAAAACTGGGTAACGTGAGCCTTAATTGGCAGAAGGAACACTACAGCTGAGAATACGCTAAGGATCCTGAGATGGGAAGGCCGTTCTGGGCTATCCAGATGGTCCAGGGAAATCACAAGAGCCTTTGCAAAGAAAATGTGATGGCAAGGAAGGTGTTCTAGAAAAAAAAAATCCTCACAGGGGCTCAGTTGCTTGGGTTTTTGTTAATTCCTGATGTAGTCAAGTTGACAACCAAGAATCCACATCACCAAAGGAGACATGGGGCAGGTGATGGCAATCCCAGCACTCAGGGGGCTGTTCAAAAAGGCGGGAGTTTGAAACCAGCCTGGGCTACTCAGTGAGAACTTGTCTTTTAAAATAGAAAAAGGAAGAGAGGGAGGAAGGGAAGGTGTGTCTGTGGGAGTGGGGAGAGTAGAAGACGCTACGGTGCTGGGTGCTGGCAGCCATGAGCCAAGGAATGCAAGCAGTGTCTACAGCTGCCCTAGAGAATTCAGGAAGAGACAAGGTCCTGCTGGCACCTTAACTGCACCCTGCGGAGACATCTCATTCCCCAGAGTATACGACTGTCTACCCTGCCTGTTCCAAACCACTGGCTTCCTGGTAATTTGTCATGGTAGCAGGGAAAAATCCCTATACCCCCAAATAAGGCAAACGGAACAATAAAGTGTCTATGGTTCCAGTCTCCATAAGACAATCTACTTGTCAGGTGCCAAATGTCCCCTGAGAGGGACACCAAGTTCTTTAGGAGGGTGGAGGTGAGGGCATCCCAAAAAAGAAATAGTGGCAAGAGCAGCTAAGTACTCTCAGCTGTTGAGCCATCTCTCCAGCCTTTGAGGTTCTCATTTTCATGTTATGGGATAACATGAAAAGTGAGGATCCCCCGCGTGGAAACAGGTACATGTCACACAAGAAAGGAGAAACGCAAAGACCTTCTCAGTTAGAGCCTGGCTGAAGTCACAGGCATCCCTCCTCCTACCAGTGCCTGCAGAAGGGGACAACCCATGCAGGGAGTGGGGGCTCTGGGTTGACGACAGGACGTTAGTTTTCGGGCCTCCCATCCAGAATGCCATTAGTTCATCACATCCCCCCACTTCCATTTTGAAAACTAGAAACTACAACCCCAGAGTCCAACAACCTGCTTGAAGGTATAGAGCTATAGAGGTTGGGATCCCCGAATAGTGAAGGTGGTCTTCAGGTGGCAGCGGAGAACAGGGACAGGGGAGAAGGACTCAGAGAGGAGAGCCACGGAGGCAGCAGATGCACCTCCAGGAGCTCCCTTACCGGAAGACAAAGTCGGCACTGTTGATCTCCTTCCCGCAGCCGCTGTTCTTCAAGATGCCTCCGTTGCCCACCACGGCACACTTCTTAAACTGAGATCGGTAGTAGGGCATTTCCTGGAGAGGCACATGCACGGTGTCACAGTCATTGCCCCCCCCCCCTTCATCTGAGGCTTCACCTCTGCCTCCAAAAATATCCCCTCTGTGAGCTCTACCTGCTGAGGCAGCCTTGTCTGGACTGTGAGAGAAAGGGGAACTCCACCTGCAGATGGGGGGGCGGGTGAAAGAGACTCCAGCATTGGGTGACCCCTCCCATTTCTGTCTGCAGGCCTGCTATGCCCCCAGCACCCACCAGCCAACCAATCGCTGAGGGTACCACATTGCACCAATAATTAGCCTCAGTTAGAAGGAGCTGCCGTGGCCCTCTGTGACACACTTGAGTCTGTGACTCACTTTCCCCGTGGGGTCAGGTCCAGGAGACCAGGACATGGGGAGCACTGGGGTCTCAAAGTCAATGGGGAGAGAAACAGAACGAGCCGCAGCAGTCTTAGGAGAAGTCATTGAGGGTGTCTTGTGTTTCCCGTGTGTGTCCTAAACAGGTGCAAATCAAGAACTTTCTGGAAACAGTCCTTCCTAGGTTCCATCCGACAGCCACAGAACAGAATCTCTGGGTGGGCAAGGGGCTGGAAAGGTGACCATTAAAACCCCAGAGACGCTGCTATGCTAACGGAGGGCTGGAGAGTCATGGCCATGGGCCACATCTGGTCTACCACCTATTTTTGTGTGGCCAGCAACCTGAGAATAATATTTATATTTTTAAATGGTCTGAAGCCACTCAAATAAGACATGTGACGTGTGAAAGCTACGTTCACTTTCCGAAATCTGTGCAACTAAGACGAAGCCTCCTTCATTAGTTTACTCGTGACAGTGACTACTCTCATGACCACTGTCATGACCACTGCCACGCTGGGACCGTGGTGGCAAGTAATGATGGTGATGATGCCACCTCCAAGGCCACTTACTAACTGGTCCTTTCCAGAGAAAGGTGTGGAGACCCTGCTGTATCTCCTGACCTCAGCAATTCATGCCCTGGCTCTGCAAGGACCCGCAAGCCAGCCCAGGCTATGTCACATCCTGCTGTGACCTGCTTAAGATGAAAGTTTACCTGCCACACCATGCAAGGCTCACCTAGTGAAGGTGACTCAATGCCACCACTGCGCTGTGACTTCAGATCATTGCCTGAGTCCAGTTCTTGCCAGGTCACTCTGGTACCAGCAACAGGACATCCAGAGAGACTCTGCTTTCATCTTGTTAGCACCTCCCCTGACCCACTAAAGCATGCAGGGCATCCCAGAGCTCTCCTTCCAGAACATAAGCATGAACACACCCTTGCCACCCGCCTCTCTGCTGAAGCCACAGCACCTCAGCATCACAGAACCATCGGAACCAGTCAAAAGTATAATTTCTGCATCCCTTTTTCCAAGAGTCCAGAACTTGGAGCTAGCTATCAGCCTTGGCGATCTGAACGGGTCATACATGAGGACCCCCTGCCATGGGCAGAGAGCAACTAAACTATCACTGACCAGCCCACCTCCAGACAACATCTCTGATATCCTAGATGTATTATTAGTAGTTAGTGGTTGCTAGGGAGGGAGAGACATTTTCTTCAGCAACCCCAATAAAACCCATTGAGTTACAGAGAAAAAAGGATGAAAGGGGGCTCATTGGGAAAGAGAAGGGGCATGGGAAGGGAATAAGAGAAAGTGGTGGTAGAAGTGGCGGGAATATGATCAAAATACATTACAGCCATGCATGAAAATGGCATAATAAAATCAATCATTATGTGTAACTATTACATGTTAAGAAGAGGCATTCTTACACAGTGACCCTAAGGTTATCTGATGTGGCTGACATTCAGCCTGGCTCTGTCCTGGGCCTGCTTTCTGGTGCTCATATGCTTTGAATGGTTTTTCTCTTGTGCCAGCCTTGACTGAGTGATCAAGGTATAATCAATCCCTCTTCTAGACAGCTGCGGAATGTCATCAGCACGCAAGGACAGAGGCAGAACTTTAACTTATTTTTGCCCCAAATCATACAAGCCATAGTTAGCTGGCATTGACCACCAGTTCCCTCCCAGACCACCATGTCAGGGACGTACCTTGGGAAACATTTGGAAGATTTCCTGATTGATGTGGAAGAAGCCACTGGACACCACCTCATACCTGAGATTCGTCTCAACTGGAGTGTTCTTCTGGGTGGTGAAGAGAAAGCCAGGGGCGTTGCAGCACTTGGACAAGGTGGACCTGCTGGGCATGGAGACAGGAGTGACACTGGGCAGAGCAGAGAGGGGCCCCTTCCTTTCCATTCCATTCCCAGACTCACTTCCTCCCCATCCCACCCCCAGCATCCTCCTGGCACCTGGAGCTCTCTTTCTCTCTAGGGCCCAGGTTTGCTGCCTATTGGAAAGCTCCGGTAGCCATACTTCCATGATAGCTCTTGTTTTTGAAGGTTATGGCACATGCCAATCACATGCTAACCACTGGCGTTAGTTCCCGCTGCAGGAGCAGCCTGCCTCACCACGCTAATCACATGCTAACCACTGGCGTTAGTTCCCGCTGCAGGAGCAGCCTGCCTCACCATGCTAATCACATGCTAACCACCAGCTGTTAGTTCCCGCTGCAGGAGCAGCCTGCCTCACCATGCAGCTTTGCCACCTATGCCTCCCTACCGCCAGCTCTCTGACGTGTGCACCCCTGAAAAGTGTTCGCCAGGCACAGCTTGATCTCTTGCTTCTCTTGCCTCTCTTCTTCCTGCTGTCTCTTCCCCACTCTCCATCTGTCTGTCTGTCTGTCTTCCTGCCTCTCTCATGTCCCCACTCCAACATGGCCTTTCACTCTCTCCCTCCCACCTCCCCCAATAAACCTTGTGCACTAACTCTGTTGTTCATGGCATGCTTAGTTAGTGGTATATCTTGGCAGGGACTGTCCAAAGGTACCCACTTCATTTTTCTTTTCTTTTCTTTTTTTTCATTACACCTGCTGTCTCAGGCTGGAAGGAAAGCCAGGTATCAGACCCTGCACCTCTCTAAACCTCACATGTATGGTACTCATCATAGGCTTGTTCAAACCACCTTCTGCTAGCCACATCAGTCAGGCCTTGACTGACACCCACTCACCAACAACAAGACACACGCCCTGCAAAGTTCACTCTTCCAGGACCTCTCTCTCTCTCTCTCTCTCTCTCTCTCTCTCTCTCTCTCTCTCTCTCTCTCTCACACACACACACACACACACACACACACACACATCTAGCAACTTGAAGCCAGAACTCTTTAGGGTCTCAGCCTCCATGGCCAACACACAACAAAGCTCTCCCCCATATCACACTAAACCAAGTCCTGTATGGTCACACAAAGTGCCACGTCTGTCTGTCAGAAGCTGACTTAGGGCAAGGGCAGGCCCAGCCTGGGGATACTGTGTTGGTACCAGATGCCTTCCTGCAGAAAGTGGAACATGGCTCCTGAAAAATGTTCCAGGAATTCAATATAGAAAGAAAAAAAAGGAGGGAGGGAGGAAGGAGAAAGAGTCCTGACATTTTGGTCTCAGTAACACTCAAAGCTGAGCTGCAGAGGGATTAAACCACAGATACCAGATTTAAGTGTGGGGGGAGAAGCCCAAGGGAAAAGACACTGCTGAAGCAACCTGTTTTTCTCTCTTCTCCAGGACTTTCCAAGCAGACTTTCAAAGGGTTAGGTCCTGGGCAATTTTGCTCCCTGCCTTATAAACTAATGGGCTCTGACTATGGCCATGGGCACAGATCACTGCCTTCCTGAGTGAGCCTGGAGTATACACAGCTCCAGGCTCAGTCCCTGCATTGTCCAGGGAGCCCTGGGGAATGGACCTCCTTCTCCACAGAGCCTTGTGATCACACACACACACACACACTCACACACACACACACACACACACACACACACGCAGGCTCAGTAGGTAGTCTGGAGTACACGGGAGCTCCAGGCCCAGTGCCCCCGGGGTCCAGGCCACTCTGGGGGGTGGAACACTTTCTCCATAGAGCCCTGTGATGACCACTGACTGTTCAAGGAGGTCTGAGGTGTTCTCATGAGCGCTGGGGTGGAAATATGAGTTGGCACTCAGCATCCAGGGGCCTAGTCTCTGTTTTCTTCCCCGTGGCCCACAGATGTGGGCCCCAGGCAGGGGACTTTCCATTCTGGGCCTTAGTTTCTTCATGTATAAAATGCAGGGGTGGCTCTTCTGTTTCTGCCCCTCTATGATTCTTTAACTCCAGCTTGTCCAAGCCAAAAGGCTAAACGACTTTTTCATGATTTCACTTCTTGCCGAGAAATCTTCACTGGGAAACCAGCTGACTGCTACTCATAGAAGGGTCTTTCTGGGGAGAACTGGATCTTTGAATGTGAGTAAGGCTTCCGAAGAAAGGCTGAAGCCTGGCAAGTGAGGGGCCACAGGTCAGCCTTACAAACCAGCATCTGGACTTTCTAGCTTTGCAGATGCAGAAACAGTCTAGTCTGTCAGCTAGAGAACACCCCATATGAAACAAGCTTGCACGTGGCTAATGTATGAACCAGCATGGCAAGCTTGCAGACAGCAGAATGGAGACCGTTGCTGGTCTTCTCCTGTACCTGAAATGCCAGTGCCTCCCTCCTGCACTGCACCAGGCTCCCACCAACCTGGATGGAGGAGCTCTCCATTTTCCAGAAGTTTGAAGTGAGAGGCAACTGATGGTCCTGAGAGCTTTATGTTGGGAACACAGCAAGGTTCAATATCACTTTCTTTCCCCACACCTGAATCCACGTCATATCCCTCAACCCCGGGGGTCTCTGCTCCCACAGCCTCACCTCACAGAGCTGGCTCACAAATGAAGCACTGTGTTCCTCTTGCTATATCGTCTTCTGTCATGTCAACATTGTTTTAGATGGGAGTCCCCCCCCCCCACATGAGACCTCTGTTCCAACTCAGCCTGACCCACATCCTTGCACACCACTTGTTCTGCTCATGCTACTGCCTCTCCTGGAGCTTACTATCTGTTCATTGTGGTTAACAAACACTTAAAAAAATCAACAACCAGGCTCAGATATTAGATAGAAGCATGATGAACTTGGGCCTCCAAGAAGGTAAGTAGAGACGCGATGCCAGGACGGGGAGATGGGGACGATGAGACTGTCAGGGCTATGGAGGGACCTTAAACAAGCATCTCATTTCTAGGAGCCTTAGTGCACACCAGCCTGAGCTACTTGTGACAGTCCCAACCTTGTAAGGCAAGGACCACAGCAAAGCATGGGGCCACTAGCTGACCAGGTGCTGGCCTTGCCACTGCTCACATTCCTAAGGCCCTCAGGGCCAGCTCCAGACAGATGCCCACTGAGACTAGATGGTGGAGATCTGGAGAGGTGGCAGTGGGGACCCACGCCATGAGGACGGAAGGCAGACGGCAAGGCATACTTGAACAGGTTGGCTTCGGAGGTGTCCATTGCCCAGTTGCATATCTGGAGGCGCTTCCACCTGTCAAACAGTTCAGACTGCTTCACCCTGCGGGAGCAGTGGGCAGAGAGCAGATGAGAAGGTCAGGTTGTACCACGTGTCACCCCTGTTTCCAAAAACACTCCCTTCCCCTTCCCCTGTATGCCTTATCAGCTGTCGGTGTGTTACTCTGCCGTGCTCCAAGGACATGCTGAGATGCTGATGTCTTCCACTTCCCCAGTACAACTAACCTGGGCCATATTTATTAAACTCTCTTCCTGTCTTTCCAATCCTACTTCGTTGGATTTTTGGAGAGAGTGATTAAACCCAATCTATTGAGACCCCCCCTCCCACTGCCCCAAGTCAGGTCCACGTCCTCGGATATTAGTGCCACCTATATGTATTTGCTGGTTAGTTTTTGTCAAGTTGACACAGGTAGGGTCATCCGGGAAGAGGGAACCCCAGTTGAGAAAATACCTCCATGAGACTGACGTGTGGGCAAGTCTGTGGGATATTATCTTAATTGACAATTGATGTGGGAGGGCCCAGATCACAGTGGGATATTTTCTTAATTGATGATTGATGTGGGAAGGCCCAGCTCACAGTGGGTAGTGCCACCCCTGGGCGGGTAGTGCTGGATGGTATAAGGAAGCAGGCTGAGCAAGCCGTGGAGAGCAAGCCAGTAAGCAGCACCCTTCCATGGCCTCTGCAGCAGCTCCTGCCTTGAGTTTCTGCCTTGCTTTCCCACAATGATGTACTGTTCCCCAGAACTGTAAGATGAATTGAACCTTTTCATCCCCAAGCTGCTTTTGTCCAGTCTCTATCATAGCAATAGAAAACAAACCATGATCAACATCAGCCGTCACCTCCTCCCTCCTCACCAGTTCTTCACCTTAGACAGTGTCTAACCTTGAAGGCCAAACTCTTGGTGCCACCCGTGTTCCTACCTGTCCCTAACGCCTTCGCCTCTTCTTAGTTATTTCTTCCCGTTGCAGTTAAGGTGTTCCCCATTCCCAGGCTGTGCCACTAGGGACAAGTCACTCCCGAGCTCCTGTGTCTGCATGTGCGGAGCGAGCTGTCCCAGCCCTTGTCACCACCTAAGAGATTCTTCTTACCATCACCAGGCGGTTGGGATTCTTCACATTTCTGCGGTGTTAGCCCTTTGTGAGTGGGGCACAGGGGCAGATCAAATGAGAGAAGAGTATGTACAAGGGGACCAGCTTCCCAAAGTGTGTCCCCTGGAACTCCACCAGCACAATGTGGTGCCACATGAGACGTCCATAAAGATGAGACTTCCCTACAGTGTAGCCCAGTTTTAAAATATTTTTAATCCCAAATACATTTATGAGCAAATGTATTTGGAAAAGCTGAGTTAAAGTCTAATATTTTCTTCTACCCTGAGATTCCCTGGATCATTTAATAGGTTCTTCTATCTTGTTTCTTTTCAAGAAAGGAATATTGCACACATCACTTTCCAGAGATACTGGGCCGTGGAGGCTTATTTCCACTGGAAATGCAGGACAGAGTGTACCTTGCACCCTGGCCCAAGCAGGCCAGGACTCCTCTTGCTTAGGGCTAGGCAATGCATCCCTGCTCGTGTCCTGGATGGGAGCCTTTCGGAACACACAGGCCCAGGACTCTGGATCTGAAAGGGGTCCTTAACAGAGGCTGTCCCAGCACCACCATGGCTGGGAAGTGGCTAGCCCCCAGGAGCACTGGGTTCACCTCTTCGTTTAACAGGAACTAGTGACACTTGTCCCCAAACATGGCCAATCACTCACTGCCTAGAGAGCTAAGCTTGGGTTATTCTGTTTAATGTTGTTAAAACAAAATACTCTTGGCTGAGCACTTACAAAGGAAAAGATCTATTTTTAGTTTCAGAAGTTGAAAGTTCCGGATCAGATGACCTCATCAGCTTAGCCTCTGGCGAGGGTACCAACAGCTGTCACCCGACAGGGCAGAAAGCTTAAAAGAGTCAGGAGTCAGATTTAATCTTTTATAGCAATGTAATATCTGTGTGTGTTTGTGTGTGTATGTGTGTGCATGAGTGTGTTCATGTCTGCACACGTGCAATCAGATGCACAAGCATTGTGTGTATGTAGACAGCAGCAGCTGTCTTCCTCAGTCACACTCTACCTCATTTTGGGGGGCAGTGTCTCTCACCGGACCCAGAGCTCACCAGTTCAGCTAGACTAGCCAGTCAGAGGAGATCCAGGGGTCTTCCTGCCCCACCCCTCCAGCCCTGGAGTTACAGGTGCACACACCACGACACCTAGCTTTTGTGTGGGTTCTGGGTACCCGAACTCAACCTTCATGCTTTTGTGGTTTTACCAAACGAGCCATCTCCCCAGCCCTGTAGCCTAGTCTTGAGGAAACTTATTCATTCTGTGAGACCATCTTTAATCTCTTCTAAGGGTGATGCCCCCCAATAATCTAAATGCCTCCCTCTAGGCCTCACTTCTTAAAGGCCCACCACCTCAAGCTTCGAGCACATAAACCCCTTGGGGGGTAAACAACATCCAAACCACGACACCCTTCAACTAGGGAAATGTGAGGAGGAGGCTGGGCCTGAGGGAAGGAGGTGGTGTCCTCACCTACCAAAGCAGAAGATCTAGGAATGTAGTTGATGGGGTGTGGGGTGGGGTAAGGGGGTCCTCAGCAGCATGCATACATTCCTGAGGAGGGTAAGGAGGGTAGACAGAAGAAACAGCTGAGAATCATGGGAATGGAGCTAGGGTGAGAAGGCTGGACTGGCTCTGAGTTTTAGTACTAGAAGCTTCTGTGATTTACACCATCACAGTGCCGGTCTCACTGCCCTCCTGCGTTCTCCCATGTCTCCAGGGCCTATGGTGTCTTCCTACTCTGTTTGCCCTCCATTCTTATCTGCTTTCTCCATCTGTTCTTTGTACAAGTACAGGCTGAGTCCATGCAGTGTCCAAGATCCCTGAGCTACGGCCTGACTGCACGGAACCCTGACCTGGCAGAACACACAGGCTTTTGAAAGCCTTCTGGGCTGAGCTTCGAGAGGCATGAAGGACTTCCCAGGTCAGAGAGGGGGGCTTTTATTGCCAGCGGTCATGGCTTCTAGACACTCTGTTTGGCCTCATGGCTGGGCTCTGCACCAAGTCCAGAAGGGTAGGGAAGGAAGCCAGAGAAGCTGCCACAGGAGTTCTCGAGCAAAATCCCCATGTGCGTGTGAACATGGGCAGCAACTGAAGGTTTGCCTTTAAAAACAGAGACACTCAAATGACTAGGATCAAACATAAATGATTTGAACAAGAATCAGCGACGGACATTGTCCTGGCAGATAATCTCAGAGTAATTCATGGTGCCTCAGACACTGTCAGGAAGCAGGGCACTCTCCCTCTGGGGGTTTCTGGCTAACTCATTTTTACCATTGATTTGAAAAATTTTGGATCAAAAATATTTCTATGGGAATCACACATCTTGTGTCCTCAGACAAAATACCCGTTCACGCTCTGTGTGCCGGAAGGAACGTGTGTGCCTCCACCCAGCTTCCTCCATCCACAGAAGGGATTTGACCTTTCCCCTATTATTCGGGTCAGTCTTGCTGTGATGCAGGTTGTGGGATGAGGCTGGAGCTCAGCAAAATCTGAGAGTGCCCAGCTAATAACAGGACTACCTGGACAGAAGCCAGCCTCTGAGCTCTCTGACATCTCCCATGGAGGACCACAAACCCTCAGTAACCCTCAGTTTAGGAATTACCCAGGAAGGGGGGCACCGGGCTTGTCATTGCCTGACACACCACAGACTGCCACAACTGACACCCTGTGGGTGGCCTAGTCTGGCCTGTACTCCTTCCTATACTTCTACAACTCAAGTCCCCAGACGAGACAGCTGTCATGGAAAAGAGAGCCTAACAAGACTAAGTCTGAGGCCACCAGCTGAGATTGCTGTTATCCCAGGAGTCCATCCTGAGGAGTGAGACAAGGTATCCTGAGGACAGATGAGAACTCATGCAACTATGAAAAGACCAATACATCACCAAAAAAGAGCCTATGATCCACTGATGTGGAATGTCCTTTTGTATGCTGTGAATATGTTTTATTACTATTGGCTAATAAAGAAGCTGATTTGGCCAATAGCCAGGCAGGAAATTCAAGCAAAGATAAAGGGAAAAAGAAGGCTGATTTAGAGAGATGCCAGCAGCTGCCAGAGAAGCAAGATGTGAGGTAATGCCTCAGCCATGTGGCAATACATAGATTAATAGAAATGGGTTGATTTAAGATGTAAGAGCTAGTGAATAATAAGCCTGAGCTAATGGGCCAAACAATTTGTAACAACTATTAAGCCTCTGAGTATTTACTCATGAACTGGTGGGTAAGAGGGAAACCTCTAGTTACAAGGGACAACAGTGATCACAGGCACAGGGAAATCCGAGATTGTTCTTCACATCCCCACAAGTCTTCCTCTGTAGGTCCAAACCAAAGTATCTTGGTAATTTCTCATCTGGTCTCTATGTATCAGCTGTAACAGGAACTCTTATTGGCTGAATTGTGTCTCCCCCAAATTCACATGTGGAAGTCCTAACATCAGTGTGACTGTATTTGGGGAAGGGGTCTGTAAAATCTAAACTAGATGGGAATGAAGTCATTGGAGTGGGCCCTGGTCCAGTATGACTGGTGTTCTTGTAAGGCGAGCATGAGACGTAAGACACAGACAGACACAGTGAAAGGATGGCCATAGGCGAATCAGGAAGGGAGGCTCTAGGACCCCTGCTCTTTGTTCTCCTGCCTCCAGAACAGGAAGGAAAAACTGACTCATCAGGGGTTAAAGAGATGGCTTAGCGGGATAAGCACTTCCCTGCAAGCATGTAGAGTAGAGTTCAGAAAATAGGTTAGGCACAGTGGCCTGCCTGTAATTCCAGCCTCCGAAGGCTAAGACGAGGATTCCTATAGCACATGGGCTAGCAAGGCCAGTCATACCACTGAGTTCTGGGCTTGATGAGAGCTCTCACCTCAATGGAAAAGACGGGAGAGCAATGGAGGATGATTCTTGACATTGACATCTAGCCTCCAATGCATGCACATACAGAAAAAGAAAAGAAACTAAATGACTTGATAGTGGAATTTTGTGGTGGTGGCCCCAGAAAACAGCATCGTACAGAAGATCTGGAGGTGGAAGGGTGAGAAGTCATGAAGACAGTTTACATGCTTCCTCGGCACTTCCAGTCCAGACCCTGAAGTGCCCGTGAAGAAATTATACGTTTTTCTAATTTAAAAGTTAACTGTTCTCCTTTGAAAACCAGTCAAACATGTAAAGGCCTCAAATATTTTAATTCTGAGAAAAGATAATCAGGGACCTTCTGCTTCTGAATTAAGCCCCCAACTAAGGTCTGGGTAGGCGTTGTCATGTAACTCCTTGGAAGCATTCCAAAACATCTATCAGACCACACTCCTAGGCACTGCCTCAAATCCTAGCCACAGGGTCCCAAGGTCCTCGGGAAAGGATCTGGGTGCACCATGACTCCTGTGGTGCCACCGGTTCTGTCTTCCCCTCACATGCTGACCCACAGCTGCTCTGGTCCTGCAGCTCCAGGACCCAGCAGCGTCCTTCCTGTCTCAAGACCTCGTATGGACTCGCCCGTTTGGGATCTTCTTAGCCTAGTTAACAACTATCACCCCACAGACCAGAACTCTCTCCACCCTTCCTCGGCAAACCTTTGCCTGGCATCACCCATCCTAGGTCAAGTTCCCCATTACCCTAAGAGTTTGTCTCCTTAGAGTTACTCATGTCTGTTTCCCCATTGGTCTATGGACTCCCTGAGAGCTGGGACCACAGTGGTGCGTGCTCAGTGCAATGAACAGCAGACAGCAGAGGGTAGCTTCATTCATCTCTAGAAAGGGCACATAGATCACCAATCATGACAGGGCCATAGTCAATACAGATAATCCATCTGGACTATCTCAAGGCCTTACTCCGGGGACTTTCAGCAGCTGCATATGGAGGCTGCTAGTTTGGACCCTATGCATCTCCTAAAAGCTTTTGTGTTGAGGGCTGTTTCTCAGGGTGATGTTATGGGGAGGGTGGGGGACCTTTAGGAGGCAAGGCCATGTGGGGTCGGTCTCAAGGTTATTAGGACTGCACCAGTGGGAACCTGGTCTTTTTCTCTTTCTGCTTGGTCATGAAGACAGCAGATTTGCTCTCTCTCCTGCTCCCTGTGATGGCACACTTCCTCCTCAACACAGCCACCAAAGCAATGGGCCTGCTCACCTTGTGAGGACCTGGCTTTGCAGACTCCATTTTAAAGAAGGGGATTCATCTTAAGCCATATGGTGACTGGGAGCAAACCTCAGTTCCAGGGATGTGCTGCGATAGTGAAATTTGAATGTATACTCTAGAAATAGCCAATTAAGGAGCTAAGGAGTAGGCTCATAAAATTTAACGAGGTCCAGATGTTTTCTGCAGACACCCTAGTCCTCGCAGACATCCTGACAGCAATTTAGGGTCCTTGGTTAACGGTCCATACCCAAAATTTGATCAATGATTTCAGAAATCGTCTTACTCTGTACCCCCTTCACCCAATCCTAAGACCCCCCCAAATATGTATCCACCCTCCTTGCAGCTGTTCCCCTTTAAAAATGCCCCTCTCCCCAGCTCGGAGCCTCACTCTCTCCTCACCCACTGCCTTAATGTGTTGGAAGAGTGTGGTCCTCACTCGAACGAAAAGAAAGAGAGTGGAATATCCACACCTACTGAGCGCCACTGCCACCTCCCCTGCAGCCCCCCCAGTCGGCGCCTGCTATCTATTTTACCAACTATTTCCACCAGTCGACAGCAATGCCTAAGAAGTTTTATAAGTTAGGAAAGGCTCAGAGAAATTAAGTAATTTATTTGCCTGATAATTAGAGCAGGCAAGGCCCAGAATTAGCTTGCGGTCCCAGGTCTGCCTTAGCCCAAAGCCTCTACTTTCTCCATGACTCACACTACTTGGCTTCTGACTGCCAGGCATGGGCAGAGTCCTTAGGATCATGTCAGAGGGCCATGAGTCCATATAAGTATCTAACATTACCTTTGTATAATTTTTATTTTGTCCACGTCCAGATGTAATTGTTTCTAAATACATTCAGACCCTGGCATAATTATCATCCAGACACCCCAGGTAGGTCTGCTGGCTTCCAGGGAGTCATAACGAGAGAGAGAAGACTGAAGTGAATGGCCAGCTGGGAGGCTCAGGTCTTCCTCCCACTGGCTGGACGAGCACTGCAGACGATGGACTATGGGATGGGACGGGACAGGATGGGGGTGCTCCTTTGCCGTTTCTATAGCAGTGTGTCGAAGGAATCTCCATACAGAGATATTGTTTGTGCACCAACATGCTGTGAGGATACACTAGACCTTCAGGAACTAGAACGGGGTGAGAGAGAGATACTTCACTGCATACCATTTTGTGACACTGCTTGGATTTTGCATCAAATAATTGACCAATCAAAACTTTCAAAGAAATTAAAATTGTCAAAGACAGCATCAAGTGGGCCAGACTGAACCCAACTGTACAAAACACTGAATTTCAGGTCCGACAGCCCAGGGCCTCTTAGATTTCTACCCAACAGGAGCCCTGCAATGATAATCAAGACTGCTGGTAACTGAGCTGGGGACTTTCACATCCCGTCAGCAGAGGTGACCTTGCAAACTTGGCCTTGGTGATCAAACAGCTTCCAGGGCCTTCTAATGCCAGTGGAAGGTCTGATTTCCAGGCTATGATGTCTACCTTGTGTTTCTCGTCCCCTTCAGTTCTGGGGTCTACCCACCCCACCCCACCTCCACATGCGATTTGTACCTACTCCCCGCCCAGGCAGAGCACACTCACATGGACAGCACCTTCACGTCCAGGATCTCCTGCCTCAGCTCCAGGCATCTTGTGGAGTTAAATTCTAAAGGCCCCTTGTAAAATTCAAAGTACCTGAGAACCAACAGAGACAAAGGTTACACAGAGTAGCAGCCCGGGTTTTCTAGGACCTGCCAAGGGTCCTTCTGTGAGAAGGAGCTCATCCTAGTCCAACAAATAATACCAACCAACCCACCCCATCACAGGACCCAGTAGGGTGCTGGCTCTAAGTAGGAGCAACCATACTGCACTGTAAGTGTGTATAGGAACAAAGCCCACTTGGGCCAACACCGAAAGGCGGTCACAGGCTTCATTGCAAAACTGTGAGGGGGGAGAGGGGTGGGCTTTATGCACTCTGGTCAGAGTGGGAGACCAGCAGCCAATCTGGGAGGCAGGCAGTGAGTTACCCCATCATTTCCTGCCCTTTCTGTCTTTCTCTGACTCTTAAGACAATGTCCTATGACACAGCCACAGGCAGAGCTCAGATTGCCCCAGATTTTTCCATTTACAAAGCATTTCCATTCCCATCTGCTCCCTTAGCGCTTTTGTTCATGCTGTGCCGTCTGGGAGACTGACCACTCTTTTCCCATCTGTTTGCCACAAGAGCTGGTATACCCACAGCCCTGGAGTCCAGAGTCACCTTCCTGGGCAGAAGCCAGGTGATCCTTTCCTCATGGGTCTCTCCCACTTCCACGGTGGTTCTGGAGCTGGAGCTACTGGAGCCGGGAATGTGGGATCCCAAGACCGCCGCAGTCATGACTCAAGAGTATACAGACTGCCACACTAACCATGGGGTCAGTAGTCTCCTAACAAGTAACCCACGAGAATCAGAATCAAAAGAGGCACCTATAGCCGTCACAGAGCCAGAACCAAATGCTGGAAACGTAGGCATTCTTGGAGCATGTCTTAGCACCTTCCAACCATGGCAGCAGCTACCACATTTGCACCCTACTGCCAAGCCAATGCTGCAGACAAGAGTATGAGAGTAGAATGTCTGCCTGACATGCTCAAGGCTACAAAAATAGACCCAAAAAATGTTCTATTCAATGGATTGTCTCCTAATTCCAAAATAAGTTGGCTCCATATCTTTATGTCATAAAAGAACTAAGCAGAGCTCTCAAGAAGGAGGAATTGAGCCGGGTGGTGGTGGCGCACGCCTTTAATCCCAGCACTTGGGAGGCAGAGGCAGGCAGATCGCTGTGAGTTCGAGACCAGCCTGGTCTACAAGAGCTAGTTCCAGGACAAGCTCCAAAACCACAGAGAAACCCTGTCTTGAAAAACAAAAAAAAAAAAAAAGAAAGAAAGAAAGAGGAATTGAGGATGTCTTTAACATTAAACTCACTCTCCCTCTGTTTCCCTCTTGTTTCTGAGTCCCCCCCTTTCTCTCTCTCTCTCTCTCTCTCTCTCTCTCTCTCTCTCTCTCTCTCTCTCTCTCTCTCTCTCTCTCTCTCTCTCTCTCTCTCTCTCTCTCTCTCTCTCTCTTTCTCTCTCTCTCTCTTTCTCCCTCTCTCTCCAAACTCAGCTTCAGAACCTAGATCAAAGGCCTGCTCCTTTGGGAGCGCTCATGTGGCCCCTACCCCTGGGCTCTATGTTGAGGACTGCAGACCACCAGACCCTGAATTTCTTGCAAACAACTTGTTTTTCTCTGCTCTGAGCAGCCTGCAGCTGCTCCGAGCACGAGACCCTGATGGCAGGGGAATGGGTTCTAATGAGTCTACAGCTGAAAGATCTCAAGAGCTGGGGCGTGATCAGAGCCCTATACAAACTGCCCGTGAGCACAATAAAGTGGGCATTCTTGGCACACTTGTATCAAGGATGACCCGTGTCCCCGTGTCTCTGTCTGTGTACGTGTGTTTTTAAATCTCCAGGCCCCTTTCCCGAGGCTCGCATACCGTCTGGTAGTGCAGACACTACAGCTCTACACACTGTATCTTCATTAGAACAAATAACATCATATTATCATAATCTGCCTCTGGTCTGTGGCCCTTCTAAATGGTGAGCATCTCAAATGTAGCGATTACGTCCTTGTCATTTCTCTCCTATCTGTCCTACAGAAACAGGCACACTAAAGACTACATTTCCTAGACTCCTTTGAGGCTAAGGCTCTGGAGAGAATTTAGGTCCAACCAATCAGAAACATATTCATGAGACTGATTCCAAGCTGCTCCTTGAAAAGCATGAAAAGGAGCATGGGGCAGACAGAGGTGACATGGTTCTCAAACACTACAGTCATGGCGGCAGCTTGCATGATGGTCCCATTGCACAATGCATTGCTCATGTGACGGCTCATCTTGGTTGTCAGCCTGGCTACATCTGGAATTAACTAAAATCCAAGTGGCTGGGCATACCTGTGAGAGAGCTTTCTTACTTAAACCATGTGAGGTGGGAAGATCCACTTTCAGTCTGGACCTTCTGAGGTGGGAAGGTCCACCTTTAATGTGGACCACATCTTTTAGCCTGTCTTAGTCACTATTCTACTGCTGGGAGAAGACACCATGACCAAGGCAGCTCTTATAAAAGAAAGCATTTAGTTGGGAACTTGGTTACAGTTTTGTCCATTATCATCATGGTAGGGAGCATGGTAACATGAAGGAAATTTCTGGAACAGTAGCTGACTACATCCCGATCCACAGGCAGAGAGAGAGAGAGAGAGAGAGAGAGAGAGAGAGAGAGAGAGAGAGAGAGAGAGACTCTGAGCTTGGCATGGGTGTTTGAGATTTCAAAGCCCACCCTCATTGACACACTTCCTCCAACAAGGCCACACCTCCTAATCCTTACAAATAGTGTCACTCCCTGGTGACTAAACATTCAAATATATGAACCAATAGGGGCCATTCTTATTCAAACCACTATATTCCACTTTCTGGCCCCCATAATCTGGTAGCTATCACAGAATGCAAAATACGCATTCAGTCGGACTTTACAGTCTCAACTTTATTTCAAAGTTCAAAGTCTCTCCTGAGACTTTTGGCAATCTCTCAACTATCACTTCCTGTAAAGTCAAAATCAAAAAGAACAGATCACGTACTTCCAACACGCAGTGGCACAGGCTATGCATTACCATTCCAAAAGGGAGGAAAGGGGAGCATAGTGAGGAAATACTGGACCAAAGTAAGACCAAAAACCAGCTGGGCAAACTCCAAACTCCTCATCCCCACCTCTGATGCCAAAGCACTCTTGAGATCCCCAACTCCACTTCTCTTTCTTGGGCTGGTTCCACACCACAGCTTTGCTTGGCAGGGATCCCACAACTCTGTCATCTCCAGCATCTTGGGATCTCCAAGGCGATCCAAGCTTCACCTTCACAACTTTACACAATGTGCTCTCTTGGCCTTCGTGCAGGGACACTCACGACGCACACCTGGCCTCGGCATCTTTTCTTAGCCATGGAGGGAGATTCCACAACTTGTTTCTTGTATCCTTGACTCTAAAACGAGAACCATGTGGCCAAAGCTCCCAAGTTCTACTGTTTGATGGGGTTGGAACTTGGCCACTTCCTTTAATTGCACTTATATCAGCTTTCTGTTGGTGGCGGCTTCCTTCGCGGCTGAAGCTTTTCTTTAACTCCTTTCCACAAACTGGTGAGGTGTTGCTCTGAGGTTACAACTCCCTTTATTCCATTTAGCATCAGGTTTTTCTTTAAACCTCTTATGTTCCTGAGCACTGGACTTAGCTCCATTACACTTTCTGATGCTCCCTTTCTCTTCAAGCTACAGGTATTGTATTGGGGTGGAATGTGGTGATTTGAATTAGAATGACCCCCATAGGCTCATCAATTTTAGTCACCAGGGAGTGGCACTATTTGAAAGCATTAGGAGGATTAGACGGTGTGGCCTTGTTGGAGGAAGTGTGTCACTGGAGGTGGGCTTTGCAGTTTCAGAAGTCCATACCAAGCCCAGAGTCTGTCTCTACCTCCCTCTGTCTGGCTCTGGCTCTGGCTCTGGCTCTGGCTCTGGCTCTGGCTCTCTCTCCCCCTATGGATCAGGATGTAGCCCTCTGCTACTGCTTCATACTGCTCCCCACCATGATGATAATGGATTAAACCCAATTCAAATGCTTTCTTTTATGAGAACCTCCCTGGTCATAGAGTCTCTTCAAAGCAACAGAACAATGACCAAGACAGAAACTGGTATCAGGAATGGGGTGTCACTGTGACAGTCCTGACCGTGATGCTTCTTGTAGGAATGTGGAGAATTTGGATAACTAGAGTAGAAAAGCTATTGAACATTTTAAGGGGCGGAGGGGCAGTTACTGGGCCCTCCTATTAGGAACATGGATGACAGTGATGTTGAGAGTGATGTAGATTGTGATGGCCAGACTCAAGAGGTTTCAGAGGACAAAAATATTAGTAAATGGCCTAGAAACTGTTCTTGTGATATTTTAGAGAATAATGTGGCTGCTTTCTGCCCTTGTCCAAAAACATCTCCCTGAGGCTAAATTGAAGAGTTGGGGTTAATGGAAGTAGTGAAGGAGATTTCAAGGCAGCCTAGTATCAACTGTGCTGTGTGGTTATTGGTAATCACTCGCATGCAGAGCTATAATGAGAAGTAGCAAGCCAGTAAGTAAGCAGCACCCCTCCATTGATGGAGGAAGGTAATTGGTTAATTATAATAAACCAACTGCTTGGCCTCATAGCTTAGAACATAGGTGGGTGGAATAAACAGAATAGGATGCTGGGCGGAAGAGGAAGTGAGGTCAGACTCTGCTCTGCTCCCGGAGAGACCCAACAGCTCTGCTCTCTGGAGCAGAGACACCAGGATGGACGGAGGCTAGACTCTTCCCAGTAAGTGCACCTTGGGGTGCTTACACACATCATTAGAAATGGGCTAGTCCATGTGCGAGAATTAGCCTGTAAGGGTTAGAGTTCATGGGCCAAGCAGTTCTTAAATGAATATAGTTTGTGTGTTGTTATTTCGGGCATAAGCTAGCCAAGCGGCCGGGGTGTTGGGGACGCAGCCCCGCCGCTCCTTATTTCAACACTCCATGGCCTCTGTATCAGCACCTTGCCTCCAGGTTCCAGCCCTGCATGAATTCCTGCCCTGACTTCTTTCAATGATGAATTACAATGTGGACAT